GGCTGTTCTACCATTTATTCATATTGTGACTCTGTACATACCGAGGTGAGAGGTGAATATACAGGGTGGGCCAAAAGTCAGTGTGCACACGTTGGGTCTTATATCTCCGCCGTGTTTTATATTTGAGAGTTTTTGCTTTGCAGATGGCATACTATTCTCTAAAATACAGTGTCATATCATGTTGTTTGAATTTTCTGCTGATGTAATATAGATAATTACATCTTCAATTGATTGATTGATTACTTATTTTCATAATTTTAAATGAAAAAATTTACAGTTTTGAGTCTTAGTTATGCTTTTAACTTTATTTGAATTAAGAATATTTCCAGTTTTGGAAACATGAAGATTTTCTTGTACCAACTTTGAGAAAATTACTTCTTTCGTCCATCTACGGTAATAGCCAAAAACAATTCTCTCTGTTAAACATATTAGCATTCGAGAGCTCAAATTACACAGTTTTTATTTCGTTTTCAATTCTGTATATTATGATTAATTTAAACTCAGCCTAAAATTAGTGAGGTTGATAACCATAACAAATGGCTGTTCCGCAGACATGGTTAGAGCATTGGCCATCAATCATGACCATGAATTTATGGTTAAAGTTATACTATGGAATTGTAACCATAGGACCAAGAGAATAATGATCACGACGAATTCGGGACGCAACCCTCAGACTAATGCACTCGTGTCATTTAAGAAGCTGTAATGAATCCTTTAGATAAGGTTAAAACATCGAGTGTGCTAAAGGATAAATCGCGTTACACTTGAGCTTCGAGATACTACTAAAAGGGCCACCGATAGCTGAGCCGCAAAGGTTAAAAGATAAGCCTCCACTTTTTAATAAACATTCGGCTCTATAGGCAATATCTAGAAAATGACACAGCTAGCGCGTGCTAGACAATAGGACCCACAAGTATACTGAGTATTATTGTAATAAGGTAAGGTTATGCTAAACAGGATGACTTCGGCCGGGTCTATATACCCCATGTATGGTCACTGAAAATTACAATACGTAATAAATATGTATTCAATTTTCTTTGAAGAATATCTGGATTTAACTGGACACACTGAAAATAACAATAGCGCAAACTAAGAGCTCAGTCACAAGGCATGAGATATCTGCAATGTGAGCGCGGCTTTGTGTCTTGAATTTACGGGTGACCGACAGGGGGTTAGGGTTAGTCTAAATTGTCTAAATTGGGTTCAGTTGTCCGGTAGCCGAATTAACATTTTGTAGCTTGAGCATGCTTGGGGCATTCTCACATAACCAAGAACTTTCAAATAACCTACAATAAAATTTCTACTCGATATCTTGACAGTTGACACCATAACTCAACATTCGCAATTGTATTTTTAAATAACCCTTTTACAAGTAAAATCATAGATCACCATCATGATCAAACGCAGAAACTTGTCTTGACAAAAATATGTCAAAAAGATGGTTATTGGATGGCTATGCAGAAAAGATTTCCAAACGTTCCAGTCCAGTGTGTTAAAACTGAACTGAAGGAACATGATGTAATTGAATTATATTGACCCAAGACCAGACAGTAAAGGTTGGAGTTATTAACCCCAGGAACTAGTTATGTAATATATATCTATAACTGTAAAAGGTGGACCGGATCTGATCATAATTTACATTTAATCGTCCTCCCTGCTCATTTGCTTGTCGTTATTTAATGTCTAATCGTTAAGGCGTGAGCTATCCCCAATGACCCGCCACTCGCCAAGCTGATCGAAGATTAGGACCGACTTGGTTTTCTCGACAGAACTTCTCGTCGATAACGATTGTATCTGTAAATCCTAAATCCCAAGAAGTGTAGGGTCCGGACCACTACGTTTTACAATTACAACATTCTCATAATTATTCAGAAAAAATGTATGATGCACCGATTTACCACCCTTGTTGGCCCCTTGTTGTTATAATTATATAGTTTTCATACGCAGGGCGAGACATTTTCAGAGAAAATATATAACGTATTCGGGCGGTAACTCAACTGGTAGAGCACCGTGCATGTAACTCGGAGGTTAGCAGAGTAGCAGATCATTCCCGCACCGGCACATGATTTTCCGAATTGTTTACCAGTAAAAATATAGCCCATTCAAATCTCTGCTTGTACACAATATTATGATCGACACATTTACAGCCATACCCGCAACTAATCGAACCGATATCACGTTGCATGCACCCTTGGGAGTCGAGCTTGCTCGTCGATTAGTGATTGAAAACATGGCGTGTTAATGGTAGATCCACATTACTACACAACGATAATCCACCAATCAGACCAATATAAAGTATTCTTATTTTGTTTGCTCGTAATAGTTGTATGAATTTAAATATTACCCAGAAGAGGAAAATGGTAACGGACCTAACAACCACAGGTACACCTTCCGTGACTAGTCCAGATCCGCCAACAGAATATATTCAACCCGTCACGGATTATAACTTATTTAAATTTCGCCAATAGTATCATCCCTTACTAATCGACCGTTTCAAATCTTGTAACCGTAGACATTAAATAGTATCATGTGCACAATGTTCCCTCAAATCAACCTCAACCGCGGAGTTCGTATATTTTGATATTTGAAATATTTGACTAGCAATGAAATCACTCGGAATAATATGACTTCAATTATTCCACTCAGGGAAGGAAAATGGTAACAGGATACCCTGACGTGACTAGTCCATTGGGTACTGGTAGTCCAGATCCGCAAACAGAACGAACTCCACCCGTGACGGATTTTTCAGACACTAAACAGTATGTGGGTGAAGGTTTCACCTACACGATGGCAACAGTTAACCTCTGTCTGGGAATTCAAGCTCTGCTTCTGAACCTCCTCGTGTTCTGGTTCTACTTGAAGAAGAGAAAAGACACTGTGCCACTTATGTACCTGTTTGTGTCGAGTACTGATCTGCTGACAGCGATATCTGCTCTCCTTGTTTCTCTGGCCCTCTTCCTACAGAAACACTCCACTGAGGCCTCCATAGCTCTTGTTTTGCCGGCCTATGCCATATTCTCGGTCACTTTCAAGGTCTCAGTGTTTCTTAACCTGACCGTGGCCTCTGCCAGGACCATCAACATCATCCAACCATTCTACAGGATCAATAACAGGGCCTGGGTCATCGCTGTTGCGGTGTATATTCTGGGATGGATTATCTTTACAGTGGTCCAGATCTCCTTGGAAGAAGCACCTCAGGATATAAGTGTCTATGATGCATACCTCTACAGTCCAGGACAGTATCAAATAATGAACAGATTCTACACTGGCGGTAATTCAAAGGATGAATGTAGGAACGTTTCTCTCTTCATTGGTCTACCCTATCTCCTTCCCTCCATCGTAGTGGTTGTCTGTATGGTGGTCCAGTCACATACACTACTAAAAATGCAGCCCGAGAAATCTACCAACACGGACGTACAGAGAAGGATCACCATCACTATTTTCATGATGACAGTGCTATTCTTCGTGTGTAACACTGTGTACGTGGTGTACCCTATAACGTACTGCAGAGACATCTTCCAAGAGAAGGGTTTCGAGTCAGAAGCTTACGTTGACGAAGAGAGAAAAAAGTACAGGTGGAGGTTTCTGACGGGGGTTGTTGCTCCCTTCGTCAATGCTGCCTTTAATCCACTCATCCTCATTGCCAGAGGATCAGCCTTGAAGACAGCCATCAGGGAAAATGTGAGAGGGATCACAGAAAGCATCGTCTCGCTTGCCAGTACCAGCCAAGCAACTCCGCAGACTGAATCAGCGTTTTGAGAAAGATGAATGTGGCCGTAGCAGCCAGTCATGATAGTATGCACTCCGTAGTCCGTTTCTAGAACAAACCGGAGAGCATTCTACTCTCCTAAAACGTGTGAAGTGTGAAAATATTGTTATTTATAATTTGGTGAAGTTGCCAAGACTTTGCATAGAGGCACATCAACACCAGCGCCTCTGTGTTCCGGTAGTTTTTGGAGCTGGCAGTGAGAGGGTGTTTGTAACGTGGAATGGAGCACTTTTAAACATGTGCTTTAATTTTTACAACAGATTTTATTCATACAACAGCTCAACTTGACGATGGTACTTCCGTTACGGTAAATTGTTCTCTGTTTAACTTACGGTTTAACTAGTCCAGATTAGTTATAAATTACATAACATTAACAAGGATCTCCTCTTTGTACAAAGTTTTGAAAAGTTGTTTGCATATTTTACATGCATAGTATGTACATCCCGAACATGTTTTTAAACAGCATATTTTGGGTATTTTATATATTCTGTCTCTATCTTAGCATTTACCCTACTGTACTGTAGTCTGTAATTTTACATATACTTTATTGATCATTTCTATCTTGCTTTTCTTCTTCTATACAGGTTGGTGCATAATTAAAATTCCTTTCGTCGGTTGTCAGCAGCGAGGGTAAATTTGTATATTAATGGATCTGACAACGTTCTGTAAGCCACAAATCGTGACACTCCTTCTGTAAGCCACAAATCGTGACACTCCGTTATATCAATTCTGATTTCAAACTGTCATTCTTGCCAGTAGAAAGCTTTCCTTTTAGTTGCCAGTTATTGTGTCCAAACGTTTTTAAATTTTAGAATTGGCGGTGTTTTTAAAAATTACATGTCGAATCCATTTACAGTAAAACCCCGATTTATACCGAATTTCCTTCCCCCAAATTAGGAATTAACATGTAAATTTTAACGATAAAAACTCCGATTTACCGCGGCTTTTACTTTCCCTAAACTACGCGGTAAATCGTGGTTTTACTGTAGTTAAGTCTAGATTTAAGTCTACAGAAGTAATTAATAATAGTTAGCTATTAATATAATAATTACTACTTGGACGCACTTTCGTATTCTTACATCTTTTAAAATTTGAAAAACTGCTTCGACTTATCAATTGTTGGAACAGCAAAATGATTATTATTATTTAATCACTTATTGTCCAGTTTTTCATCGTAAAAGCCGTTTTCGTTTTACAACTCAAAAAAACTATAAACACTCTCTAATTATACCTGCATGTTGAGAACGAGAAGAATGTGTGGATTAAACCGCTCCTTTTCATTCAGCATTCCTAGCATAACTGGGAGTGTCATGTCAACCGGTAGCTCCGTTACTTTCTGGGGAATTAAAAGTTTGTGAATAAAATAATACCTCGGGATTGGGTGTTAGCATGTAAAAAAACACTGTTAGAATGGCATAACATAGTATAATGGCATTGTTTAGAACAGCATAGTTCAGAATAGCATAGTTTTAATTCTTGTCACGTACACTATGTCTAGAGATATTAGCGAGGTTAAAAAAGCTGATGTCTAGGGTAGGTGAGACTAGCTAACAGCATTGAGCTGACATTTACAAACACAAATTGTATTATCATGTTTTAAGTGCAGTTTTGTTATGTGTTGACCAGATTTGAGCTCTCATTTTTCAACTGTTATCGCAGCAATACAACTGCAAACTAGCTGATACTGAGTTTTTGGTGCTATACAAGTACAAAATGGAAAATGCAGAGTCTACGATGTGGTCCGGGGATGATTTGGACAATTTTGCGAGTGCCACGATAGCTCTGGGTGATTGGTCTAAGGAAATGATGGAAACAATAAATTGTGAATATGATAGCCAAGTTACGGTAGAGAAGTTTAAGAAACTGAACAAGGAAGTCTTAGCGGAGCATCTATTCGACGTGTTTCAGTATATCAGCAATTATAATGATGTTTTCCCAACAGCGAGATTTGAAATAGAGAATATGAAAAGTGAACTGATCAAATCTCAAAAATCAGTTGCTCAGTTGCAAGGAGAACTTCTGGAAATGAAGAGTAAGGAGCATGATTCGGTTCAAACTACCGTCAAAACAGCTGTAGAGAACTCTGTACAAGATGTAATTCAGTCTTACAGTTCTGTCGTGTCAAAATATTTGCTGAGCTCTCAGAGCTCTGCAAATAGTTTGGTACGACAGAGCTCTGCGCCCCCATTCACCAAACAGAAGAATGGTGTAGTTGAAGGAGATCGCAGTAGAAATGTTGTGATTTTTGGTCTCGTAGAGGACGCAGAAGAGAACCTTAACAACAAAATTGGTGACGTATTTAAAGAATTAAATAATCCAAAATTTAAAGCTGTTCGAGTTGGTAATAAATCTGCTGATAAAGCTCGACCAGTCAGGGTGTCATTAGAAAACTCTGGCACCGTTCACCACATACTGATCAGAGCTAAAGACCTCAGGCAGTCTCCGGAATATAAAGCTGTGGTTATTTCGCCGGATTTCGCCGGATCGGTCGCCTGAGGGACGTTCTGTACACAGAAAATTGGTTCTTGAATTGGAGAGAAAGGTCAATGAGGGCCCGTATAAATCAGAACTCAGATGTGGTTGAGTCTGTGAAGAAAGTACCGAGTAAAAAGTATGACGAAGTATTCATTTTAGAACTCTGAGCAAATGTAGTGTTTGTGATTTTGAGTTTCAACTTCTTGACGTTTTACACTCGTTAATATTGACACTTCTTATTTTGATACTGATTGTTGATATATAATAGGCAGTTTACAAATGCTATGTTTCATTTCGTTTGTCATATTATTAAGCTCATGAAATTAAAAGTTGTCAATACATTCTTATATTTCTCAGACTCAGATCGTTTTAAATAAAATAATCACAACTCCAATTACTCCTCCTAAAAGCTTCTCGAACTAGTACCTGTCTGATGGTAAGTTTGATATGTTCCTCCCACTCTTTGTTGCACTCTCCCAGCAACACTCTTACCACCCTATCACGTGACACAGCCGGGAACTCTCCCAGGAACTCAGAGTTGAGACCCTCTGCAAGAAGACCAGGATTGGTTTCCATGGCAGAGAAGAAGAGCTCCATCAGGGGAGAGTGGTTGAGGAGCAGTGAGGTGGAGGAGGGAGACAAGTCACCTAGCAGTCCACCTCGTGTTGCTCCATCCTGGGGGTTTAGTTGTTAGTCAGGGGGTTATCACTTTCAGACTTTCAGATCAAGCAAATTGTAAGCTGTTTCTTAGTTTAATGAGTGAGAAATGGTGTATGATTACATTGATTTGTAATTTGTTGCTGGGATGCAAACCTTGATGAGCTGAAGGCTGTATTTAAGTTTAGCTGGATGCTGCACTGCCCCAAAAATCCCATAAAGACTGTTCAACTTTTCGCCGTATGGCAATGTTTCCTCTAACCAAGATGATATCTTAGCGTCGTTGCTCAAGCATACTTTTCCTATTTCCTGAAAAATTAATCATTACGTTCCAAATCTTGACATCACATAATATTTATAATCTCGCATAAAAAAGAGTCTCTATTGTGGGGAACAGGGGAAGCATCTCTCTGGTATATTTATCTTTAACATAATATCTTTTAACAGGTCTTTAACAAAATTGGTTGGCGGATAGTATTAGTAAACAGTGGACACACCCTAGAGCATTTGTTGGATGCTTGTTCTCTTAAAGTCCCACCAATGTTTAATACTTTAATAGTTGATACACAATACGGCACTGCAATGGTCATAAGCCACATTCTACTTTGTAAAAATTAGGAAAATTAAAGTTAATGTTTGTTGTCCTTCGTCGAGTTGGGGCCCTACTAATGATTTAATATCGGTTAATGGGAGGCAGCTGGGATTGTTCTTCAAATACCAATACGATTACAAGTAATCAGTATCAGGATTCAGGTGTTCTAGGAAGTCAGGAAGTGGAGCTTTTAACGACTTAAAAAACGCTATTTTGAAAAACCGAGAGTGTGTCTATTTCGAACCTGTTTTAGCATCTCAAATTCAACATTTTTGGTAATTTCAAGATTCTGTAGAATATCGACGCCCGTCGATGAGGATGGATCCAACTTGGATACGGTCTTCAACCGCTTGTAGGCCCATGATCGAACCTGAAAAACAGAAATTCAGTAAATAATCTATAAAAAGAGCAATCCAAGTTAATTGCAATTATATACCTTGCTCGACCGAATTGGAACTATCAAGACAATAGTAGGGTAGCTGTAACCCTGAGTACCTTTTGAGAGGGAGCTACTAGAGCACACAGCAAGTGAGGGAACACAGAGTTCAGGTTCTCCTCCGTAATCTTCACAAGTCTGAGACATTCCAGCAGGTTATCCAGCGACTCCGTCCCGTCTAGACCTTCAGAGGCCAGGATCGAACTGGGATCTTCTTCTAACGCAACCTAGATATTATATATAAGAGGGTTGATGTTTAAACATAATTCATCATGCTTTAGGATGTACAAAGAAAGTCTTCATTTGAAACGACAACAGGTTTGCTGATAAACCAATGAATATATCATTAAAATGCTCAAAGTTTATTAAATTTACCTTCATAGCCACACTGTAGACCAGTCCCCTGTCGATGGCAGCAATGAGCGGTTTGCAGGGTTGATGTAAAGTACAGGATCTCACTAGATAGAGGAGGAGATGCTTGATATCTTGTGGAGAGGTGATCTTAGGGGCCAGTCTGGTGAGAACTGAGAGGACCAGTCCGACCATCTCCCACTCCTGAATATTTATTGATTTGTTTTTTTTTTCAACTAGGGGGGGGGGGGGGGGGGGAAGGTCCAACCCGATCATTCCGATCATTCCGATCCCGATTTTGGCCTCATCAACCCTCATATCGGAAAAATCGGGAAAATTTAAATCTTTCCTCTGAGGTTTCTAGGCGATATAGGTAGCTATTTCTGTACTTAAATATGACAAGAAATCGATTGGTGGTGGTCCCAGAACCCCAAAATGGTTTCTAGTTCCAAACAAGAATCGTTTCGTCCGAAAAAAAAACACACTGTCGTATCAACTCTTGTTTGACAGAAACATCCACCCCGGTCCACAATTGAAAGAGGTACGGTTGGTAATAACAATCGTAACAAATAGAGAACGCTTTAGTAACTTTTGATTTAAATTGTCTCCACAATTTGTAACAGGCTATCTGCAGAAATGGGTAGCACGGTTAATGACCATTGACCGTGCTACCCATTTCAAGAGGAGGACTGAGGACGGGGAGGAGGAGGACTAAGAGAACGCGAGGGCTAAGGACGACGAGGACTGAGGACGAGTACGAGAGCGAGGACGAGGACTGAGGAGGAGGACTGATAAGAAGGAGGAGGAGGACTGAGGATGACGAGGAGGAGAAGGAGGACTGGGGGAGGACTGAGGAGGAGGAAGAGGACTGAGGAGGAGGACTGTGGACTGAGGAGAAGGAGGACTGAGGAGGACCAAGTCGAGGACTAGGAGGATGAGGACGAGGACTAAGGACAAGGACTGGGAGGATGAGGACGAGGATTAAGGACGATGAGGATGAGGACGATGACTAAGGACGAGGAGGAGGAGGACTGATTAGGAGGAGAAGGAAGAGGAGAAGGAGGAGGAGGGTGAGGAGGAGAACTGAGGAGGAGGAGGAGGAGAAGGAGGAAGACTGAGGAGAAAGAGGAGGACTGGGGAGGACTGAGGAGGAGGAGAAGGACCGAGGAGGACTGAGGAGGAGGAGGACTGAGGAGGAGGAGGACTGAAGAGGAGAGGGAGGACTGACGAAGAGGAGCAGCTCATTGGTGAGGAGGAGCAGGACTAAGGACGAGGAGGACTGAGGAGGAGGACGAGAGCGAGGACGAGGAGGAAGACTGAGGAGGAGGACTGATAAGAAGGAGAAGGACGAGGACGAGGACTGAGGAGGAGGACTGATGATGAAGAGGAGAAGGAGGACTGGGGGAGGACTGAGGAAGAGGAGGACTTAGGGAGGACTGAGGAGGAGGAGGACTGAGGGAGGACTGAGGAGGATGATGAGGAGGAGGACTGATGATGAGAAGGAGGAGAAGGAGGAGGAGAACTGATGAGGAGGAGGAGGACTTAGGAGTAGGAGGAGAAGAAGGAGAAGGAGAAGGAGGACTGAGGAGGAGGAGGGGAGGACTGAGGAAGAGGAGGACTTGGGGAGGACTGAGGAGGAGGATGACTGGGGGAGGACTGAGTAGGACGATGAGGAGGAGGACTGAGGATGATGAGGAGAAGGAGGACCAGGGGAGGACTGATGAGGAGGAGGACTGGGGAAGGACTGAGGAGGAGGACTTAGGAGTAGGAGGAGAAGGAGGAAAATGAGGAGAAATAGGAGGAGGAGAAGGAGGAGGAGGACTGAGGAGGAGGACTTATGAGTAGGAGGAGAATGAGGAGAAGAAGAAGGAGGACTGAAGAGGAGGAGGAGGAGGACTGACGAGGAGGAGAAGGACTGACGAGGAGGACTGAGGAGGATGAGGATAAGGATGAGGAGGAGGAGGAGGAGGAGGATGAGGAGGAGGACTGAGGAGTAGGACTGAGGAGGAGGAAGAGGACTAAAGAGGAGGATCAGGAGGAGGCTGAGGAGGAAGAGGACTGAGGAGGAGGAGAAGGAGGAGCAGGACTGAGGAGGAAGAATGAGGAGGATGAGGACGAGGACTAAGGACGAGGACTAGGAGGATGATAACGAGGGCTAAAGAAGAGGACTGATTAGGAGGTGAAGGAAGAGGAAAAGGAGGAGGAGAAGGAGGAGGATAAGGAGGAGGAGGAGGAGGAGGATAAGGAGAAGATTGAGGAGGAGGAGGATGACTCAGGAGGAGGACTCAGAAGGTGGAGGAGGACTCAGGAGGACTCAGGAGGAGGACTGAAGAGGAGGAGGAGGACTGATGAGGAGGAGGAGGACTCAGGAGGAGGAAGAGGATGAGGACGAGGACTAAGGACGAGGACGACTAGTGTAGGACTGAGGATGAGGACTGATGAGGAGAAGGAGGAGGAGGACTGAGGGGGACGATGAGGAGGAGGAGACTGAGGAGGAGGAGGATGACTGTTGAGGAGGAGGAGGAGGATGATGAGGAGGAGGACTGAGGAGGAAGACTGAGGAGGACGAGGACGAGGACTAAGGACGAGGAGGAGGAGGACTGATTAGGAGAAGAAGAAAGCGGAGAAGGAGGAGGAGGATGAGGCTAGGAGGAGAAGGAGGAGAATGAGGAGGAGGACTGGGGGAGGACTGAGGAGGAGAATAAGGAGGACTAAGGATGAGGATGAGGACGAGGACGATTATGAGGAGGACAGAGGATGAGGACTGATGAGGAGGACAGAGGATGAGGACTGATGAGGAGGAGAAGGAGGAGGATGAGGAGGAGGAGGACTGAGGAGGAAGAGGAGGATGACTGAGGAGGAGGATGAGGAAGAGGACTCAGAAGGAGGACTCAGGAGGTGGAGGAGGATGAGGAGGAGGACTCAGGAGGAGGAGGACGACTATGAGGAGGACTCAGGAGGACTGATGGGGAGGAGAAATGAGGAGGAGGAGGAGGAGAAGGAGAAGGAGGAGGACTGGGAGTAGGACTGAGGAGGAGGAGGGGACTGAGGAGCAGGGTGAGGAGGACTGAGGAGAAGGACGAGGACGAGGACGAGGAGTCAGGAAGAGGACTGAAGAGAACTGAGGAGGAGAAGGACTCAGGAGGAGGAGGAAGACTTAGGAGGAGGAGGAGGACTGATGAGAAGGAGGAGAAAGACCAGGGAGGAGGAGGAGGACATGTAAATGTTTTTCTGTTTTTGTCTGTTTTTGTCCGTTTTTGTTCGCCCTACTTTTTGTCCGTTTTGAAAATATAGGGTACCGAACGGACACAAAACATGACCCCCAGCCAAGCATGTCAGCAGGGTTGCCGGCATTTTTGAGAGTCATTTTTAAGGTTTTTTCACGTCTTTTAAGGCCCCTTTTGACCCATTTTTAAGGTCCAAAACAGTTAAATTTAAGGTTTTTTAAGGTTTCCGCTACAGAAATTGCAATCATATGACATATCTAAAGGGGGAAGGTATAATTTCAGAAAACCCCAATTAGATCTACACCGACCTAGGTATAATTTCAGAAAAACCCAATTAGATCTACAACAAGCTAGGTATAATTTCAGAAAAACCCAATTAGATCTACAACAAGCTAGGTATAATTTCAGAAAAACCCAATTAGATCTACAACAAGCTAGGTATAATTTCAGAAAAGCCCAATTAGATCTACAACAAGCTAGGTATAATTTCAGAAAAACCCAATAGATCTACAACAAGCTAGGTATAATTTCAGAAAAACCCAATTAGATCTACAACAAGCTAGGTATAATTTCAGAAAAACCCAATTAGATCTACAACAAGCTAGGTATAATTTCAGAAAAACCCAATTAGATCTACAACAAGCTAGGTATAATTTCAGAAAAACCCAATTAGATCTACAACAAGCTAGGTATAATTTCAGAAAAGCCCAATTAGATCTACAACAAGCTAGGTATAATTTCAGAAAAACCCAATAGATCTACAACAAGCTAGGTATAATTTCAGAAAAACCCAATTAGATCTACAACAAGCTAGGTATAATTTCAGAAAAACCCAATTAGATCTACAACAAGCTAGGTATAATTTCAGAAAAACCCAATTAGATCTACAACAAGCTAGGTATAATTTCAGAAAACCCCAATTAGATCTACAACAAGCTAGGTATAATTTCAGAAAAACCCAATAGATCTACAACAAGCTAGGTATAATTTCAGAAAAACCCAATTAGATCTACACCGAGCTAGGTATAATTTCAGAAAAACCCAATTAGATCTACACCGAGCTAGGTATAATTTCAGAAAATCTTATCAGGTCTACACCGAGCTAGGTATAATTTCAGAAAATCTTATCATATCTACATCAAGCTAGGTATAATTCAGAAAATTTTACTAATCCGGAAAATCCATTTAGATCTACATCAAGCTAGGTATAATTTAGGTATGGAACCTTAAAAAACCTTAAAAACCCGAAAATTTGCCCGTTTTTCACGTCTTTTTTAAGGTTTTTTGCCCAAAATTGCCGTTTTTAAGGTTTTTAAGGTTTTTTAAGGTTTTTAAGGTCCCCCGGCAACCCTGAGCATGTGTTACGATACAAATGTACTTGACTATACATTTAAGGTGCAGTGTACTAGTGATATTATGGTATGTTTAAAGACCGGACCACAAAATATAACCTGGTACCTAGTGTTGTACTAATACATAATAACAAGTAACAGGGATAAAATTAATGAGCAGAAACAATCGATCTCACGTCAAAAGGCCAAAGCACTCGGGTCTGGGAGTACATGACAACTCCAACTAGTAGTGAGTATACTAGCGCCCCTGCAGTGGAAAAACACATAAAACATACTATTGGAATGTCCAATTGGTTCGTTTTCTCATAACAATATAGCATATGGAGGGGTTCTGGTTGAATTATATCACTTCTGAGAGGTTTTAGAGATCGATTCTGTTAATTTCTCAATTTTCCGATTTTTCCGATTTTCCGATTCCGATTTTGGCCTCATCAACCCTCATATCGGACATCGGGTTGGACCCCCCCCCCCCCCCCACTTTTAGAAAATGGGTAACGTATGTTCTTTAATTATTAGACGTTTATTTAACTCGTTACTTCGGGAACTGTTATAGCTCATATATCATTACTACAAATTATTGAGCCCCCATTTCACATCTGAGATGTGAAATGGGGGCCTATAATTA